TATTGTTTCCTCACCTGGAACACCGTCCTCCCAACACCCAGCTCCTGCCCACATTAAGCTTTAGTCTTTTCACAGACCTATTCATGTAGAGGCAACGAGTTGAGAGTTGGTCTTTACATATGTCTGATCCATCCCCTCCTATAGCTTATAGTAGTCCTGACCATCTACAAATCTACAAACATTAATTTAGACCTTAATTATATGCTTCCAGGGGCGCCTGGGTGGTGCAGTCGTTAAGCGTCTGACTTCAGCCAGGTCACGATCTCGCGGTCCGTGAGTTCGAGCCCCGCGTCAGGCTCTGGGCTGATGGCTCAGAGCCTGGAGCCTGTTTCCGATTCTGTGTCTCCCTCTCTCTCTGCCCCTCCCCCGTTCATGCTCTGTCTCTCTCTGTCCCCAAAAAAATAAATAAACGTTGAAAAAAATTTAGAAAAAAAAAATTATATGCTTCCATGTGTTATTGTCTTACTGTTTCATTCATTCATTCATTCACCAGATATTGTATGCCAAATATTTGCCATGACTCTGCTAGGCACTGGGTATAGTAAGTCCCAAAACAGCAGAAACCTTGTTTTACTTGTTCACCATTCCATCCCCATAGTCTCACATAGTGATGGGCTCGTGGCAGATACTGAACAAATTGTTGTTGAATAACTGTTAACCAGTATTTTCTCTCCATCATATAGTGAGCTCCTAGAGACCAAGAACTGGTTTTTTTTTTTTTTTAATGTTTATTTATTTTTGAGACACAGAGAGACAGAGCATGAGTGGGGGAGGGGCAGAGAGAGAGGGAGACACAGAATCCAAAGCAGGCTCCAGGCTCTGAGCCATCAACCCAGAGCCCGACGCGGGGCTCGAACTCACAAACCGTGAGATCGTGACCTGAGCTGAAGTCGGATGCTCAACCGACTGAGCCACCCAGGCGCCCCTGTTTTTATTTGTTCTAAGACTGCTGATTGAGAACCCGCTATGTGCCACATATTGTTCCAGACATAACAACACTGTTCTAGACAACTTTCTTTACTTCTTCTATATTCCCTAGCACATTACTATAAGTGAACATTTCCTGATCATTTTGTATTTGCCAGGAATTAGTCTAAGCCTTATCCATTATCTCATTTAATTCCCCCAATGATTCTATGAAATAGGTCCCATTTTATCCCCATTTTATAGATGACAAAATTGAGGCTCAAAGAGATTAAAGAACTGACCCAAAGTCAAATACCTATTGGGGTTTGAACCCGGGTGACCAGACTCTACATTGCTAGGCTGCCTCCAATGAGTACTTTTTGATTGACTGACTTGACTGAAATAGAGAGGTCAAGGAAGAGTAGTATTGGTGGCTCAATACACCATCAAATAGGGGCTGTGTCCTGTAAAACCACTGTTAGGCAATTTCTTGACCAACACCAGATACAATAGGTGTATGGTTCTTTGCAAGCTTGTAATGTGGTAAATAGGACATAAACTGTGGCATCATTTACTTCATCATATGAACTTCCAGTCATAAAATGCTAAATAAAGGAGATGCCCACTAGGCTATCCAAGGATGCCTGGAAGAAGAGACCAGACATGAAGCTCCTAAATGTTAACTCTTTACTAGACAGAAGGTAAGCAATAAACTTTTTGGGCTGGGGTTCGGTTGTGGGACCCAGTAATTCCTGTTGACACCAGCAAGCTTCCTAAGGCATCAGCAGGGGAAAAGGAAAAGGGTGGGAATAAGAAAACAAGAGAGAGAAAAATGGGAAGGCGTGAGTCTAATGAGATGTGGACTGGTCAGAGCCATCAAGAGCTGTCTTGGCTGCTTGGCCACTGTGGGCTGCTGCCCCAGCAGGAGACAGAACACTTCAAATGAGCTTTAGGGACGCCTGGGTGGCTCAGTCAGTTAAGCATCTATCGACTCTTGATTTTGCCTCAGGTCGTGATCTTGCAATGTGTGAGTTAGAGCCCTGTGTTGGGCTCTGCGCTAACAGTGCTGACAGTTTGGAGCTTGCTTGGGATTTTCTCTCTCTCCCTCTCTCTGCTCCTCCCCAGTTCATGCTCTCTCTTTCTCTCACAATAAATAAAGTTAAAAATAAATAAATAAATAAACAAAATGAGCTTTACATGCAGCCAAAGGCACACGGAAGGGCTTTTAGTCCCATGGGGCTCAGCGAGATGGAGAGGGCAGGTCACCATGTCATACTTTGATTTCTGTTCCTCATCAAGTAAATGGACTCAGCTCCCTGCCTTTGAAAGAAGTAAAAGCAAGGCCCAGGTTGATGCTGTGTGCTGGGTTTGGTAATGGGGGATTCATGCGATTCGTGTGATGTGTGATAAGATGCAGGGAGTGAAAGCAGCTATTAACACTGATTAACTCAAAAGTTGACCACCGGCACACACAGCCATTGTTTCCAACAGCACTCTCTAGCGATGGGCTTTGTCTGGCTGGCTTCACAAGAGACAAATGCCATTACAGGAGACCAAATAACCTTATTTAGGCAGCCGTCAGATAATAGAGACGCTCTAGGTATTAGCCTGACTGCATTAGTTTGATTTGTTACTACTGTTCACCTTGTCCTGGGTATTAATGGAGACAAAGGCTTGGAATTACCAGGAGCAGAGATAAGCTGTGGATTAGAGCCTGTGTGTTTTGAGGGAAAGACAATTCTATCTTGGGTTTTCATTTCCATTTCCACCTTGCTTGATTTTTCCTCAAAGTTAAAGTCCAGCTTTTTCCCTGAATATCATTATATTCACTCCAAAGTACTAGCAGTTATAATTGCTTTAAAAAAAAAAAGTTACTAACTCATTATTTCCTCTAACAAGATCAATCAGCCTTTATCTTTGGAAATGATTTTGGGGGAAATTCACTTATAATCTTGTATATTATTTTGCTTCTTTGAATATTTTAATATATTACAGACTCACTTCAAAACATTTAAGGATATTATGTTATTAGTATCTGAAAATATGTGAAATATCTGAAAGAACATGCATATTATATTCATAGTTACTTCTTTAATATTACAAATTCTAGTATTATTTAAATTTTTTCTGACTTCCAAATGTTATTTTTTATAGATGCATCGTTTCTATTATAAATGATTTCAGTTATAAGTATGTACCTTCAGTTGTAAACACAACTTATCTCAATGATAGATAAAATTGAATTTTAGACCCACGTAAATAGGTTATATTATGGTCACTAGAGAATTCTGAGATAATGATATTCTAGTTATTGTTTCTTTCCTCACCAGACTTTTTATAGGTATGACCAGGTTTTATAACTAAAAAATAAATTTAAGTGCATTATTAGTTATTAATCAATGTGATATTGTTTCATTTTTTTCAAAGTCTAGCACTTTATATAGAAATTTCCCACTCTTCACAGTTAGGTTTAATTTCAGGTAAATTCTAGATAAACTATGATTACTCTCTGAAATATCAATTTGTGAAAAGTACTACTTTAAAAATACTTAAGTGTTAATATTGTAAAATAGCTTGTAATATGCAGGGCTGAAATCCTCTTCTAAACTAAGCAAACATTAGGAAAGGGATAGAGCTAGATGTCTGACATGGCAAGATGTCAGAAAGATGCACAGAATGTTAAGTGTGATGACATTTAAAAAAATAATAAATAGAGGGGCACCTGGGTGGCTCAGTTGGTTAAGCGACCGACTTCAGGTCATGATCTCATAATTCATGGGTTCGAGCCCACATCCCCACACCGGGCTCTTTGCGGACAGGGTGGAGTCTGGTTGGATCCGGTCTTCCTCTCTCTCTGCCCCTCGCCAGCTTGTGCGCACACACACTGTCTCTCTCCCTCTCTCGCAAGAATAAACATTTTTTTAAAAAACTTTTAAAAAAGTAACAAATAGAAATGCGTGTGTATATCTATGTATACATATGTACCTGCCTTCGTGTAGAAAAAGAGACATAACCATGTTTAATGATGATTATCTGGGAAGGATGAGGCTTGAGAGAGATTTTCTTCTATTTCTACATTATTTGAATTGTTTACAATATGTAAATATGATGTTTGGGATAAAAATAAAAGACTGTTTGAGAAGCCTACCCATCACGTGACACTTTCCTCTCCAATGCACTCCAGTTGACTTCCAGTCCTCAACTTAATATAACTTCACAGAAACCTAATGAAGAGCAAAGAAAGCTCCCAGTGGATGAATTCTTACTGATATATTTCATAAATAGTGCTTCACATTTTGTATTAGTGAAAGCAGCTCCTTATATTGGGAAAAATGGCCCAGTCTGACAGTAGACTTCCTTGGAAAACATGTAATGCCTCTGGTTTTCCAGTGGCTGCCCTTCTGTTCTTCCTCCCTCTCCATCTCAGCAATAGTGGAACAGAATAAGACCGTCTATTGCTGACTAGTTGTTGGGACACAGAGCTCTCTATCCCCAATGTGCTCTCCCTAAATGATCTTTTAAAAGCTCTAAAATCTGAGTCACACTCCTTTTCCTCAGTGATAATACGCACACTCCTTTTCATCTTTCTCATGCAATTAAACAAACAAAAATGTATATAGTAGGTATAGATTCAGTAATTCAACAAGAATCTTCTACTGTGGTCATTGCTAGGAAAGAAGAGAACAGAGGAGCAGGAAAGAAAAGGGAGGGGAGAATTCAACTCAATGAGGACAGCTGAAATGTAGTTTCCAGGAGACCAAGTCAAAGTCCTCAAGCAAACATTTCAAAGAGCATACCCACTCTGGCCTTCCACTAATTAACTAGAAAACAAACACCCAGACTTCCAGTGGTAGGACTTCTTTTTTGTGATGCATCTTACCTATTCCTTCCCATCTTTAGTTGATAGGTACAATGGCAAGTGCAAGGAAAATACATAGTTTTTGTCCCAAAAAAGTGCCCTGATTTTTTCTAGCGACTATGTCGCAGCACATACAAAAGGCAGATCAGTTACCTCATCAGTCAACGTATTACTTTTAACAACAAAATATACAGTTGTTTGGAAACCACTAAACTAGAAATAGATATTAGCCCGATGATCATTATTCCTTTAATGAATGAAAGTAAAACACAACATTAAATAGCTAGGAAAATATTTTAAAATTTGCATGTATTTGCAGCTCAATCCTTTTTGCAATATAATACCAAGGGTATGAATATGACAACTGATGTCTTTCTATCTCTACTTTGGCATAATGATTTTGCTTAAAAAAAAAAAAAAAAACAGCTTGAAACTGTTAGAAGGAAACATGCCAGAAGGATTTGTATTGATACGTGGTGAGAAAGTTTCACTGCTGTATGTCAGAAATTAAGAGGAGCTAATAATCATGTTTCAAAATGCACTTGAAGAAAACTAATTGAAACAGAGCATATCTTTGTGCCATTCTCCAGATTATTTTACTTGAATTATTCTGTAAATAGAATCCAGCTTGTGGAGTCACTTAGTCATGAGCTTGCTGATTTTAGCGAACTAGTTTCTTAGATTAAATTTGCTCACTTAAAAAATAGCTGGCTTTTTCTGAAAATGTTTATTAAAATATATAGGAAAGGCCTTTATTGTAACTAAAAGTGCCCATGTATAATAGGTACCATGTTTTAATAGTGAATATTTACAATATATTTTCGGAAGAAAAATGACAACACTCAGATTAAATGCAGAAAAGATCACACTTTTTAAAATTTCATATCTCCATTGATTCCTCGGGTTCTGCAATTGTAAAATAATCTCACGTGGTCAGTTTTCCGTCTACTCCAGGAGATTCGTGTTGAAATTTTTTTTCGCCATTAGAAACTGTGATTCTCTATGGGACCTTTTCAGCTTTGCACGCCGATTTTGGAACCAGATCTAAAATTAAGGAAAAATAAAGCAGATCTCAGGAACATTATTTTACTATTCTTAACATTTCCATCATCACAGGTAACAGCTAGGTTTGAAAATTACCTGGATTCTGTCTTCCTCTAGATTCAGTTTTCGAGCTAAGTCTTCTCTGATATCAATGCCAGGATAGCAGTTTACTCTAAAGACATTTTCCAACACTTCAATCTATGAATAAGGTAATAGTTACATAAAATGTTGATATTTCGTATGTCATTATAAAATGGGCTTTAATTCGTATAACAAAATAATTGTATTTACATCTTGGGCAATTAATCTATATATGCCTTTTACATTTTTTAAAAGACTATCCAGAAACTGTCAAAAAAAAAAAAAAAAAACCACCTCCATAGAGTCTATTGTTTCATTAACAAGGCTTCTAAACTGAGATCCCAAAGTGATTGGGCTTTTGCCCAACAGGGCGTTAGTTAAAACCTTTGTATTATCATTACTGCTTGAAAAAACTTCCCACCTGGTTTTGAGTAAAAGCGGTTCTTGGTCTTCGTCCTCTATACCAACTCAGTTCTCTTTTCAAAGACAGTCTTTCTGAGGGTGAAAAGTAATTTTCATATTTCAAAAATCTGTCTTCTGGCACTGGACGATCCACAGTATAAGGGAATGAGATCCCGTTAGGAAGGCTCGGGATATGTACACATAGGTTAATATCTTTCCCTAAAAGCAGAAAAATAAACTCCATCTTAGATGTCCAAACCTGTATTCCACAAAGTTCTATAAGAAGGAATTTCAGGAACTTGTCTTTAATTTTCCTGGGGAAATTCCTCTGGGTTTCACAAGAGAACTGACCTCTCATCAACCAAAAACCAAAAAGCAAACAAAGATGGAGATCCTGCCTTGCTGCTAGAGAACATTTTGATCTCTGAATGTCATGTATTTTTTCAGTGAAAAAATAGAATATCTGATGTGTCAAATACAAGAGACCTTTTGAAATAAATGCAGGTTCTTGGCATTTCCTGTGAACGAACTTTATACTCCCTTGGATCTAAGGCCAATTCTCTTTTCATTTCCTATAGAACTCAGCTGGAGGCACTGAAAGTCCTAGATACTTCAGTTATGTAATTGGATGAAACTGCAGTTTTTCTCTAGCTCTACGTAATATGAAATAAAGGCCAAAATAAACACTGCAAACGAAATAACAAAGAATTTAAAAAATTAACTTGTGGTGTACCTGAGGAGCCGCAGGTGTCTGCCCAGGGCCTGTGGGGTTTCATTGATGGAACACAGTCTTTCTTCTGGTCCAATCCCAAAATGCTCTCAATTGAAAAGGAGCAGGGCGAGGGTTTGCTTTCCCCATGCCGAGCCCCTTCCTGCAGGCTGGGAGACATCCTCGAGTGGGCTGCACAGAACAGCGGCTCTGGCCTCTCCTTGCTTTTTGGCTGGCTCTGCCCCATGTGTACAGGGCTGGGATCTTCCTGTGGTTCACCTCCTGGCTCCGCTGACAAGGGGGCTGGATTTAGAACGTCACTAATTAAAATCCTGTCTTAGAAAGTTTTAGCATGTCAATGAACACTCTCCCAGCCAGCAGCTTGAGGAGTTAATTGTTTATTTGTTTGCAAGTAATTAGCAACTAATGGCTACACCAGGGGGGCCACCTACAGGGACAAAAAGTGTTATCTCTCCTAAGCAGAACACAGACTTAACTTTCTCGAAAGAAGTGATGCACAAACTAGCACTCCTCTTTTATTTGAAATCATTAATGTATAAAATCATGCCTTTTATTCTGAAGTTTATACTTTCATGGACTCCAGTTACCTAAACACACAGGCAAGATAGGAGAGCAGTCAAGTAATAAATAATCTAATTTAAGTGAATTTTCTTCCAAGGAAATTGGAAAAAATAATAATCTCTTAATGCTATTACGGTAATTCCAATGAAAATGCCTGTTTTTCATATGCATATGTAATAGTGAATGTTGTCAATGAAAACACAATGGTATTTGGAGTGCAGCATACCAGAAAAGGTTGGCAATGTTATTAACACTGAGTGTAATTGTCTTCCAAGTGCCTGGATTAATTCATAAGGAACAGTTGCACCAAGTATTTTAAATAATTAATGAACTAATTCCATTCTTTCATCTTTTCTTTTAAATGAGACAGATACAAGTTTATGTGAAGATCATATGTAACCACCTGCAAGTAACTTAAAAGCATGACTGTTCAAACTAAAAGGAAGAATTTCTCTTCCCAGCAGGGTTGTTTCAAAGAACAGAGCATGATTCACTGTATTTTCTTAAAGAAGAATTTCCCTGTGTTGATTTTTTGAGGGGCTGGGAAGTCTTCACGAAGACAATAAGATTTGTGAAAAATAACCAAGAACAGAATATTTTCATTTCATCCTCCTAAGAAAACTTGAAATTAAAAGAGAAATGCAGCTGCTAATTGGGAAGATTGTGAAGTAAGCACACCTTGCAATATTTTTAGTCCTTGTACTCTGCGGCTCCTCTTTTTCCAGTAGCTTCTTGAGGATAAATTTAAGAGTTCAACTTTATCCAGCATTTAAACAACTACGAGACAATTCTTCAGGGAAGAGGAAAAGTAGTCTCCACTCATAGAGGAAATGGACTCTACAGGGTGGAGCTCAGCTTCATCTGATTTTATCCTATCATGAGGTACAAATATTGAACTAAATTCCTCTTTAAACAACTTCTAGAATGAACAAAGGATTCACATACAAAACATCAACAGGCACACAGAAGGATGGGTTTATAAATACAGGTGTAAAGCCATTGTAAGAATGAACAAACTAGTAAACATTTAATGCCTCATGGAGGTTTTGCCTCTAGCGTCTTGGAATGTAGACTGTGACCTTACCCTGAGGAAGACTTGGAGGAAGAGAGAGAATTCAAGATCTTCACAGATTCCTTTCTCTCGACACATTCATCCATCCATCTGTTCATTCCACTATTGGCTGAGCATCTACTCAGAACCAGAAAGAACAGGATCCTTGCCCTCATGAAGCTCACAGTGGTATGGGGTGGGGTGGGGGTGGGGAGCAAACAATATTTGTAACAGTAATTATAAGTCAGTAAATTACCTCATATGTTAACTGGTGATAAAAATGGAAAAAGGAAGCGGTGAGCCAGGTAAGCCGGCTCATCAGTGCAGGAGGTGGAGATCCTGAAATCCTAACCCCACAGATTAGTGCCCTAGTGCACAAATTGCAATGCTCCTACAGCACACACTGAAGCAACTCTAATCCCCAATTTCTTCTTTATCAACAAGGACATTCCAATATCTTTACTGTTTGAGTTGACTTTATCTGGACTTACATAATACCATTTTATATGGGGATGGTAGATGAAAATGAAAGGTAGGAAAGAATTTCTCTAAAAATATCAGGGAAACATTTTCTTATATATTTATTTGACAAATTTTATAGAGCACTTACTATGTGCTAGACACCATTCTAGGTGCTAGATATCAGTGATGAACAAGGTAATTTCAGAGAGGGATAAACTCACTGAGAGGAAGAAACAAAATGTCAACCTCTCCCATTTACTACCTTCTGCCTTATTACATTATATATCTGTTTATTATGTTTGTTTTCTATTATCTGTTTCCTATCTCTAGAATTTTTGTCTTTTTGTTCATTCCCTAGCATCCAAAAACAGTGCTGGCTCATACCAGATGAAAGAATCTCATTGTTTCTTTTTGCATTCCTTCAAGTAAAGTTGGGCATTTATTTCTTCATGTTTTTCAGCCAATACGTGCTCTTTCTATTGTGAAATGATGGCTTATGTCTGTCTTAGTCTGTTCAGGCTGGTCTAACAAAGTACCACAGACTGGGTAGCTGATAAACAACAGAAAGTTATTCCTCACAGTTCTGGAGGCTGGAAGTCTGAGATCAGGGCACTGGCATGGTTGGGTGAGGGCTCTCTTCCAGGTGGCAGATTTCTCCTTATCTTCACATGGCAGAAGGGGCTAGGGAACTCTCCAGGACCTTTTATAAGAAACTAATCCCATTCATGAGGGCTCCGCCCTCATGACCTAATCACCTCCTAAGGGCTCCCACCTCCTAATACCATCACAAGGGGTATTAGGATTGCAACATATGAATTTTGGTGGGACACACACATTCAGACCATAGCATGTCCTTAGCCCATTTTTTTTTAATTAGGGTATTTTTTTGGTTGTTCTTTTTTTTTTTTTTTTTTTTTTATTTATTTTGGGACAGAGAGAGACAGAGCATGAACGGGGGAGGGGCAGAGAGAGAGGGTGACACAGAATCGGAAACAGGCTCCAGGCTCCGAGCCATCAGCCCAGAGCCTGACGCGGGGCTCGAACTCACGGACCGTGAGATCGTGACCTGGCTGAAGTCGGACGCTTAACCGACTGCGCCACCCAGGCGCCCCAAGTTGTTGTTTCTTAATGATAAGAGTTTTTCATATATTAAAAGATGATAACTCTTTGGTATGTGTAATAACTATTTCCCCCATTTTGCCCTTGATATTTTGACTTTATTGATGCTTTTTTTTTTCTCTCATATGAAGCTTCATATAGTAAAATGTGTTGATTTTACCCTTTATGATTTCTACCTTTAAAAAGGGCCTTTCTGGCTCCATTTATGGTAGTAATGAAGTAGCTTCTATTGTACCTACCCTCCCACAGATACAAATTATAAACTCTGGATAAAGTGTTTTTTAAAACTACCCCAAAGTACTGAAAAGTAGTCCCAAACAGGGAAAATACATTTAGAAGAGATAAATAGCACTGGGTGAGCTTTCCATTTTATGGCTTTTTGTCTGAAATCAGGCACCAGTCAACACTATGTGGGAGGATGTAGAATCTTATTGGCTTAAGGAACCAAAGGAGAGAGGTCAAGTCAACCACAGCAGCTAGGAAGTGACAGAGAATCCTAGGAAGGAAAGAGATACAGGGAAAGGCCCCAAATTCTGCATATAAATTCTGCCCAAATCCCCGGATGACTTCTGAATTTGGCATGCACATGGAAAACACCAAACATCTCAGCTAATCCTAAAATGATTGAACAAAAATTTCAACCGATGACGACCACAAGGGAAACAGAGCTTAGATACAGTTTGAGCACAGACTGATAAAACAAAACAAAACAAACAAACAAACAAACAAATGCAAATCAACATTCTTCAGACAGATAAAACAGAATCTGGAGACTATAAATATCATTTACAGAGTCCAGGATACAACACAACATTATTAGACATATGAAGAAACTGGAAAATGTGTCCCATATTGACAAGAAAATGCAATCAATGGAGACAGATCCAGGGGTGATACAGATGTTGGAATTAGCTGACAAGTTTTGAGAGCAGTAATGTAAAGATGCTTAAGGACATAAATGAAAATGTGCTCATAATGAATGTACAGACAGTATCCATCATCAGAGAAATAATAACTACAAAAAAATCAAATGTAACTTCTATTACTGAAAAATAAGAGAGATAAGAAATTCACTGGGTAGGCTTAACAGTATATAGGAGATGCCAGAAGAGTCAGTGAACTTGAAGATATATTAATGAATATGATCTGATCTGAAGAATACACAGGAAAAAACATTAAAAATAAAATCAGCGGAGTCTGAGTAACCTGTAAGACAATAAAACAATATCTAGCATATGTGTAATTGGAATTACAGAGGGAGAAATAGAGAAGATATGGTAGAAAAAATATTTGAAGAAATAATGGCTGAAGTTTTCCAAAATTTGGTGAAAGACATAAATTTATAGTTTCAAGAAGCTCAAAGAACCTCAGTAGGATAAACACAAGCAAAACTACATCTAGGTATATCATAGTCAAATGGATAAAACCAAAGATAAAGAGAAATATTTGAAAGCATTCAGAGAAAAATGGTATATTATATACATAGGAATAACAATATGATTTGACTGAGTTCTCATCAGAAACAATGGAGGCCAGAAGACAATGAAACAACATCTTTAAAGTGCTAAAAGGAAAAATAAGCTTTTCAACCCAGAATTCTATATCCAACAAAAAATCTCAGAAAATGAAAGCAAAATAAAGACATCTCAAGATAAATAAAAACAAAGAGATTTATCACCACCAGACCTGTACTACAACAAAGTGACCAGTGTGACCTCCACTGTTAGGTGTTATGGGGCACTGTGGGTTCTGCTTTGATCTTTTGGATAGCTCTCTCCAGGGGAAGCCAGCCACCATGCCCTGAGGACACTTAAGTAAACCTGTGGAAAGCCCACATGGAGAGGAATTGAAGTTTTTGCCAACAGTCAACACCAACTTGGGAAGTGAATCCTCCAGTCCTAGTAAAACCTTCAGATGAATGAAGCCCCAGCTGACATCTGACCACAATCTTAATGGATACTATCAGACAGGACTGGATATCCAAATCACTCCTGAGTTTTTGACGCAAAGAAACTGTGAGAGG